TGTTCGAGCTGCCACTGTTGTAGGTTTTTTGCCACTTCTGTAATCTTTCTTCTTGTTTCTTTTCCTTTTTTTTATCCCACTCTCTGACACCAATTTGTTACGTCTTCGTTTGTTAATTAACTTTCCGTAACTTCGTTCCGACGAAACTTTAGCGACACAAGTCCTTACTTAATAAAACTGGTTTATTCTTTCCGAATACAACTTTACGATACACTTATTTTCAACAATCACGCTAAAACAAACGCTATATCAACGAACGTCAACTATACTTCTGACTGCAGTTCAATTACTCACTAGGTACACACACATTACCTTCCCGTCACGTTGTCACCCTCTTTTATATACCAGACTACCCTATATCTAGTAAATGCTAGAGCATTCGCCAAAGTACAAGATAGTTCTAGAAAGTAGAGGGCGTAAGAATAGTCACGTGATCTCGATGACGCAACAATATGTTTAAAAACAATTTTCATCACAGTAACACGATGTATATATATATAACCTTATTAAGACCACCCGCCTATATAAACACTAGGAGCCTTTGTAATACAATTAAATATATAAATGGGCATTACAATATTTTGTCAGGAACACTTTTATTACTTTAAACCAATAAAAATAATAGTTTTACATTGAATCTGTCAGCCTTTGTAAAATATATGTAGGTGAAAACTATAAAGTAACTCTCATAAGACATATAATTAAAATTAGACATTGATAACATGTTGAGACAGGTTGAAAAACAATTTGGCCTTAGTAACACAATGCATATAAAAAACCTTAATAACATCATCCACCTATTAATACTGTTGGACCTTAGTAACAGCATACACCTTTATAAGACACACACAATATGCATAGTAAGACCATCTGCCTATAGAATTTTAATAACACTATCCACCTATAGAAACACTATCTGCCTTTGTGAAACACGTGTAGTATATAAATAAAAATCATAAACACAAGTTGAAATCTATATGCAATTCTACAGTACTATCCGCCTAAGTAAAACACACATAACCACCTAATAAAACCTTCTATCTAAAGAAACCTTAGTAACAACATCCACCTATAGTAACAGTATCCATCTATCGAACCTTAGTAACATAGTATAGCTATAGTAGCAGCATCTACCTCTAAACCTTAGTAACACCGTCCGCCTATAGTAACAGGCCTTCTGGTATCGATCTATGATATCACCCTTCCCTAGGATAGCCGCGCTCTCTGGTGTTTGGTTCCACTTAGTGGACGTCATCGCCATCTGTTGTCTATTACATAAAACTTGGCATATTACGTAACAGTTGCGTAAACCCAGGCGGAGGTATATTACGTAACCCTAAGGCGGCACCCTTTGCACATAGGGGCGCTAGAGTAACTTCTGACAACCACAGAGGGTGAAACCCATCATATGTAAATAAAATAATAAAAGCTTTGTGTAATATTAAAAATGATCAAATGTTTAAACATTGCTATTCTACATTGTTTTTATTTATTCTTTATTCACTAAAGTCACGAAAATATACTATAAACTAAATGAAAGTTCGATCTTCAAACCAAAGTTAATACAAACAATGTTCTACACTTCGTAACTTATGGTGTATATCCTGAACTATTGCAGATAAAGACGAAACGAGCGCGAAACGCTCAAGTAGAAACGGCGTCGTGATTATAGTTCTCACCGTGATCGTTTCCCTTGCATCCATTGCAGTGGTGGTTTTCCTTGTTTTTCGAAGAAGGCGAGTATTATGTTTGATAGCCTTAGAATCTCGTTAATTTCTAATTTCGTACGCCATAAACGCTGCGTCTACAAATTATTACTTAAACTTTATAACAGTCTTGTAATTTTCCATAATTGTTTGCTGTATATATAGAAATCTAACGTATATAATAAAAGTATATTAAAATAAAACTATTTCATTTGTATGACCAGCAAATCCATCTGTCTATTTACTTGAAGCTAATGCATTGTTTATTCGGTGCAAATGCAAAATAATCAATTCAGTTGTTTTAACTGTGCAATGTTCATGGTGTTTTAAAGTATGTTTTGTTTCAACCTCTAAATATCACAGAATATGGAAAAGTATAATAAGCTATCCAACAGTATAAGAAAGGTAAATGTATATTAAAGGAAAAGGTGCAAACCTGAGAAAAATGTTGTTCATTTGAGGCATCGTGGGAAATATTTTGAAACACTTTTGATAGTTTCATGCCTTATTCGGTGTTTACTGACCTTTACACAAATAAGCATCAGGTATTGTAAAATAGGGACGTATTATAAAATTTCTTATCTCATTCTTTCGTTGTGTATGTTTGCGCACAAGACTTTATCGTTATCTTTTGCTTGGGTGTTGTCGAGAGTTGCTGACGTTGAATGATATTTTCTAAAACCAATAAACCAGAATAACTTTTTGTTTGTTTCACATTGGGCTATCTGTAAATTCAATTCATATAATCAGGATAGATTAAAAGTTAGAACGTATACATAATATAAAAAAGATTGTATTTTTACTATTATCTGATAAATTAGTTATATCTTTCTTTGATTTAATTGCACCTATATTCTTTCTTATATTAATAACAAATATCTATTATTTTCAACCGAACCTAGAATTTTTCTAAAGCTACGAACGCAAGCCCACAGGAGTGACTGAACAATTAATTATTATTTTGACATTCTCTAACCTCCCAAATTTTCAGAAGATGAGGATGACGAGTTAAATTGTGGCGAAACGTTTCGAAGTGGCGTTCTACCTCTTGAGGATTAAAGACATTACCTTTCCTGGTCTAGTGATTGGACCACGATATGATACATCGTGCAACTATAAAGTTGATTACAACACAAAGCTCTTTCAAAATTTAAATTTAACCACTGATGAAGCTTACTGTAAATGGTCAGTGATTCCAAAGTACACACGAAACCGTTAGAGAACACTTCAAAGTAATTCCAATGTTGCCTCAAAATCACACTATTTTCTTCAGTCTTGCGTCTTTTAAAGCTAACGGCTATATTGTAAGAAGTAATTTGATCATTTTTATAAATACTATTTTTTATTCTTTTACAGAATTACTTCCTCAAGATTGTCAAGAATTCTTGGTAATCGTAAGGTATTTATTCGTTTTCCAGATCCAGATCGATAGAAATTAAATTTCATTTATCGACTGCAACCTATCCGACTTCACAAAGTGAACATCATCAGTCAAATATTTTACAAGTTCACGTAGTAAAAGGGGTAAAGTTGCTTAAACAAACAAAAATACATCATCAGAGATGTTGTCAGACAATGGTTAAGTTGTAAAAAGCGAATTTTAGAAATTGCAAAAAAAAAGTAATATTACGGTAATAAAAATTAGTACAGGAAATTATTGTGATTATATCAACAAAATATAATAAATTTATTCATTTGAAATTATTGATAATTTCTAGAATATAATATCCGCAGCGCACTAAGAGGTCCAAAGGATTTACAGGAGCTTCAATATAGCGACCAAACTCCTCTGTTATTCTCAATTACTTCTATACCTACCCCAAGAAAGTAGGAGTCCATACCAGAAAATATATCCCATTAAGTCCTCCACCCGTGGAACTTGAGCACGTGCCAAGTGTGGTCCAGTTAGCTTGTCAGATTCGAGTTTAACGACCCTGGAAACCTACACCTAGATCTCCATCATGTCTGAGTGATCTTCCAAACGTGTTTTAGTTTCTCTTGGTTAAGGGTTTGCGCCATATAGATAATGAAACCCCCGAGTCCACCTGCCAGGCTTATTCCTGCTATCTCCAAACTTGTGGGAGTAGTTCTTGCTGTATTATTTTATATTAGAAAAACTAGATGAAAATTTCATAACAATTTAAAAGACCATTTCCACCCCCACCCTACGTATTCGATCACTTTAGTGACATGGATCATAGACAAAAAAAAAATTAGTTTGTATTTCGCAAACTGATGATAACATAAGGAAAGGCGATATTAAAGAAACAATTAAAATTACCTATAAATAGGTTGACAATGTTAACTAGTATTTACTTTAATATACTCCTTAAGCACGTAACAATTTGAATAGTACTTATTATAATATGCTCTTTAATCATGAGACCATTTTGATTTTTCGTATGAAAAAATTTTCATGTAGAACTAGTCTCTTATTACGAAGATTTTATATATATATATATTAATTGTATGTACGACATCTATAAAAATTCGTGTAACAGAGATATGTGTCAACCTGCTACTTTCAGGTGGAATAGCGAATGCGAAGGTTGCACTGTAGCTTACTTGTTACCGAGATTTCATTGCTCTCGTGACAAAAATATCAATTTATACAATACTGAAATTCGTCACGCTTCCTCAAATCAATAGGATGTTGTATAATTTGTAAACTTCTAAAGTGACCACCTATTAGAAAGGCCGGTCGATCTTGTGATATCTTTCATAAGCTGTTGTTTGTTATTAAGCATAAAGCTACACAAACGGCTATGTGTGCTCTGCCCACCATGGGTATCGAAACCCGGTTTCTAGCATTATACGTCCGCAGACATAAGCTGTTTTCTGCTTTGAAACAGTATCTTTAAAGATCTGTTTATTAACTTAAGCCATACAGCTTATTTTGGTCTGATGGTTAGGACATTCAATTCTCAATCTTCTGGTCGCTGGATCGAATCCTTCTGTATGTGCTCTTTCTATCAGGCGTGAATACGTTATGGTGTATCGGTCACTCCCAATCTTCCTTGATAAAGAGTAGTCCAAAGTTGGTGTTGAAATAATCTTAATTCTGTTTACTAGTTTCACGAGTTTTAAGCGTGTAGCATAATTTTTATTAAGTAAGATTGATAATTGTGAGCTGCTTTTATTTTTATTTTTTTATTACCTTTAATTTAATTTTACGATATTAAATTCAGACCCTTTAAAACTGTTATGCGAGTTTCAATACGTATACAATAGTAATTGTGAACTTATATTTTTCAGTTAAATAATTTGATTCACAACTATTTAAAAACAGTGAGTTAAAATTTACATTTTACAGTGACGTTTTTAACTTACATTTATTGAATAATATTTTTCTTTCGAAGAGGGTTTAAGTAGTGTGCATTTCTCAAACACGGTTGTATTAACATGAACCATCTATCCATGAGAATCTGTTCTATCTCACTCAGTTTGTTCTTGCATGATTAACAACAGTGAACTTTTTATCATATCCCCTAGTTGTTCTTCTCAAGGGATCGTGGAGACAAAAAATTTGGTAGGTGAACATGTTCCGAGTATTATTACAGATTTAATTTTTTTTACAGTTCATCTTCTTACAAATTATATCAACTTTAACATATTTTATTATTAAAAATACCTTATCTCTGTGATCAAGAGAAGGCATAACTGCTATGTCTGTTTCTTAATATAAAACGCTTTCTTTTTTCAGTTTCGTACAGTACTTAATACGGTGAATATTTATTGTTTTGAAAATTCTAGATAGATTTTACTGTTTCCTTTTTGTTAAAACTGTTACGGTATCGCTACTTTTACATTAAAAATCTGTAGCACCAAGCCTGTTTTTTTTTTTTGTTTTTTTATCTAACATGAGATGATTTGGTTCTGAGTTTGACACAGAGTAGTTGAGTTATTCTAAACATTTGGCTATCTATCTATCCATCGGCTAGCCCTTCATCCACTTTCCTATTTGTCTGTACATCTCGTTATTAGTAGTTTAACAAAACCATTTGTTTGTTTAAGACGACGACCGTGGGATAGAACAAGTGGGTGAAGAACTCAGTCATCAAAAAATTTTAAACCTTCGGAGAAAGAAACCAGTAATCTTGGAAATTCTAGACAAAGCAAAGAAGATAGAACAGGATCAAACAAGTCCAAACAGGATTGAAAGGTAAAAAAACATGTATTAAAAACAAAAATATAAAATAAAAAGTTTTTGTTTTCATCATTTCGTCGATTTATATACAAGTATCACTGATTTTTATGATTTAATATTTTGGAAGAACGAGAATATTTCTGTCCTTTATTCTAGTTGTCTAGATTTGTTTTATTATCGAACGCATAGGCGCTTAAACCAAGGAGGCAGAAGGGGCACGTGCTATCCCACTTTGACTATTTTTAGCAAAAGTTTTTCGCCCCATTTGCTCGCCAATTCTTCCTTACTTTTGCCCTCCCCACTTTTAACAAGGATAGGGGCACGTGATCAAAGTAATTAGGTGTTGTAGAGTTACGTTATCTTATCTTTAGATATTAACTTATCATAACTGTTATTTTATCTCTACATAAAAATAGAGTGTGTGTGTGTGTGATAAGATAGATAGTGCTCATCTAGGTAGAACTGAATAAACAGGGCCGACTTCGTCGCCCTAAACAAGATTTCAAAATGCCGTCATTAGCAGAACCCCTGCATTAATAAATTCGTTAAACATATACTGAACACGACATGTTGCAATTTATAGTAAATTTTTGCTGTACATAACATACTTCCATCCAATTTCTGTAGAGATTACACAGCAGATGGAAAGACAGACATATTTGCATTCAGTAGCTAACATACGTGACGTACTTAAATCCTGTCTCTGTAACGACAGACATACAAAGCAGTCAAATGACACGATGTACTTAAATCCTGTCCCTGTAAAGACAAACATACAGAGCAGTCAAAAGGCATGATGTACTTAAATCCAGTCTCTGTAAAGATAAGACATACCTAGCCGTTCTATAAACATGACACACTTATATCCAATGTGTAAAGTATGTTTATTATTAAGCCTAAAGATACATAAAGGGCTATCTATTCTGCACTCCCCTTGAGTATCAAAACCCAATGTTTTGCATTATAAGCTCTCAGACATACAGCTGAGCCATTGCCATTTCCATAGAAACAGATATACATATCAGTTCAACAGACATGACATACTCATATCCAATCTCTGTAGAAACATAACACAGCAGTTCAATCAGACATGTCATCAGTCTTTTAACCAGAATATTAGGAAGTACATTTACATTTCTGTCTGTGTTTACTGTTCTTAAGTCTTAATATGAGATCACTACTCCAATTAGGACTGAAATCAACAACTGATTTCTTCCAATTATGCTTCCTCAAAAGCCATAAAAGTTTCAGTTATAATTCTAAATAACAAATGAATAAACAGAAAATTAACATACTTAGTACAGTAAATAACTACATATTTTTTTTTCTGTAGAAATTTAACCATAAATAATATGTTTCAGAGAAGTATCCCTTGGCTTGATCTTGATTTTGCAACTTCTAGAAGAATATGAAACAAAGATGAAGATAACCAGTAAATCACTGACGCCAGGAATGATTGCTAGACTCATGTCTTGGGGTGAACAAGTTATAGCATCTTATGAAAATTCGTCACTGTCATCCAAGGATCAAGATGGAGGCTCAGTACAAAGCATTAAGGACAAGGTACTTACATAACACTTGTATTTTGTAGTTATAATTTACACAACAAAGAATGGATACACTAATATGATATCCTTTAAAATATTCCAAAGATATAAAACTGTGGTAAACAGAGATTCCTTGTTGTAGAAACTTGTTTTAGAGAAGGTTCTAATTCATATACTTAGAAACTTGTGAAGGCTACTCAATGATAAATTTGATTTCCAAGGAACACTGTAAAGATTAGACAAGTACAGGACTAAACAGGCAGAGACCAACACTAAACACCATCTAATTTATAACAACAGGTTATAAGCAGTGGTATTTGTCATTATTGATTTACAATCATGAATAGGTCAAATATATTAGATATGCCAGTTTTATCAGCTTCTAATTTTCCTTTAACAATAACAGTTACTGATGCTGTATGAATCACAGCTTCTATATATTTTTTATTTTTTCAGTTGGGTAACATGAATATAGATATTTAAAACTCTAAACCTGTACAGCACCTTATGCAACACATGAGCTACATAGTCAGGTAGAAACCCCAAACTTCAGACATAACCACCCCTAATTTAGAACTGCTGACCAGTGGGATAGAAACCAATCAGCAACACCCACCACCTATGTAGTTAATCTTACCAAAATAGTGATACTGGCTTTCACTTTTATAATATGTCCACAACTGAATGTATGGAGTGTATTCAGTGGCATATCCAGGGCTCAAATCTTGTATATCCTCCTCATCCACAACCTGGCACACTAATAACTACATCACACCCGAACCCAGCATTGATAGATTTTATGCACACAGAATATCAACTTGGGAGAAATATTAATCACTCAAAATGGGTGAATTAATATTTCTGCTTCTTCACACAACATAAGAAGCCTAATGTATAACTAAACAATCAAAAAACTGCAATGGCAAATTGGAAAAAGGTCTAACAAGATTTAGTTTCATACAAGTACCCAACATAACCTTCGCCTACTGGCATGTTGTCATTTCTTGGCACCTATCAAAGTTTGTCACATGCTCCAATCACCACTGGCTTTGTTGACCCATTTGCTAACTTGAGCTGACCATCTGACGTGATGTCTTGAATCTGTTTCTTCTAGCACCAGCATCCATGGTGATAGTCACTCTTTTCTTGTTTCTTACCAGCACCATCTTTGTAGGTAGCTCCAGCTGCTTTATGCTGAGGTTTCTGCTGTTGCTCACTGGTGATGGACTTGTGCTCCTTTGCAATGTGCCCTATCTTATAACTTAATATATCATCTCTTCTTGTCACCTTTGGTGGTATCCTGTTTATTGTCAGCTACCCCTGGTTATACATGGACTTGCAAGTTATACTTCCATGTACTTCCATATACTGTTCTGACAGCTTGATCATCTTATCCACATCTTTTGATGCTCTCTCCTTTAGAAACAGTGACTTGTCAGTTGAGCATGTGATCATGAACTGTTCACGTATTAGTAGAACTGCCAGTCCCTCAAAACTATTTTCACACTCAGTCATGTCAGTTCATCTTGTGAAGTATCGCTATAGACGTGCCACAAACTGAAATACAGTTTCTCCAGTGCCAAGTTTGACTTCTCTGAACATCCGATGAAACATTCTTCAGTAAGTTCATACATTTCAGCAAGGCCACTTTTAACTTGTCATAGTCCATTGCATCTTCTGATGTCATGCCTGCATATACTTGTACGCCTTTTCCTATGACAAGTGGGCTGAGACAGACGGCCCAGTTACCTTTGTCCCAGTTTTGACTTTGGGCAAATCTTTCATATCTCTCCAGAAAATAATCCATGTCATCTTTCTGTTCATCAGATTTGGGCAACTTGGGTTGAATGGCCCTGATTCCATTTTCGGGTCTATCCTCTTTCTGTTGGGTAACATGGTGATCTCAATTTGTGCTCTTATTCTCTGTATTTCTAGTCTCTTCTCTCTCTCCTTTTTCTTCTTTCTCAATTTGTATTCTTATTATTTCTCTCTCTATTTCCTTTTCTTCTTTTAGTCTTTCTTCCTCTCTTCTCTGTCTCTCCTCCTCTCTCTCTAGTTCTTATTGTTGTTTAACAAACTCTCTGAGTTTGCCATCTTTGAGCCCAAGACACTCACCTCGTTCTATCCATTTATCAAAATCTGTTGACATGGTTATATAGCATGACTGTAATCTTCACACTATTTTCGCCACCACTACAGTTGTGCATACATGGGCCTACTTAAACTGTCGTTCTCGTCTTCTTCTATTACCATTTTCCACTGTATAATCCTGGCTGGCTCACCAATGTCAGGTTTTATATAATTCTTTTACAATAAGTGTCTGTGATTTGTTGGCAATAAACAGACAGCACACAATTCACTTGTTTTAAAATAATATATTCAAAACAAGTCAAACATATGTACAAAAACTTTTTATACTATTGTTTACCACAGTTGAATCTAGAGCTTTAAATAATTCACCTTTTTGTCAAAAGTCCACACAGGCTGGTTCAATTACTTTAGAACCCATTAACAAAATGAATTATTTCTTCTCTCTTCTTTTATTAGAATGCAATCAGTGATGAGTTCACTTACGTTACCCCATGGATTACCACAGTTGTATCCAGAGCTTTAAGTAATTCATTTTTACATCAAAAGTCCACACAGGCTGATTCAATTACTTTAGAACACCCTTTAACAAGACAAATTATTCTTATTTATCTCTGTTGTTACAATACCACTTTAGATATTGCCAGTTACAACTAAATTAACAATCATGCAGTCTAACTTCACTTTCACTACCTTACTTTAACTTCAATATTCACATAAATAGAAAAACTTAGAAGCTTTGAGTAAGATGATGTCAACAGTACTGCAAAAACCTAGCACAACAATTAAACTGCATACACAACGTATGACTCGTACAGAGTTATGTAACAAAATTTGTCATAACTATCTCTTTTAAAATAATTAACTTTTAACCCTTTTATTATGAAAACTAAATAATCATTAAATACTAAATCATTTTGTTACTCCTGATATTCAAAAGCATGCATGAACAACAGAAAAAAAGATAGAAGCAGAGCAGAGAGGAAACTTAGTAACCCAAGCAATTTCAGAAAGATTATTTTTTCATTTTGCAATTTACCTCTGAAGAAAAGTCCACAAGCATTTGGATTATTGAGTTTCTTTTCTAATCCAACCATTTTGTTCTTCATTTTGTGAGTAGTTCTCTGTAATTTTTCCCATTAAGACTTCAACTGTAAAATTTCCATTTTCAATTTTTTCAAATAGCTTGCTGGTACCACATTATGAAGGTTACTCAAATCGAGTAATCATGGAACTGATAAAACTACAAGAAGTGTACAAGATGTTCCCGTGTTTTGATGATGAAATGCCAGGGTTCGACAAAAATGCTTCTTATATCTTATAAAGCTATCATACTTTTCAATTAAGCTTAAAGTATATATGTTGTAATAATTAAAAAATTTTAAACATAATACAAATATAGATCTGTTCAACAGTGAGCTGCTGTGACTAATAAGGCTCAATTTGTGGGCTTCAGAAAGAAAAAAAAATTATACAAATTCCTAACCTAGTGTATGTCAAAAATTATAGATTGACCATTTGTTGTGTTCTGCCAGGCCATAACTGTACCACAGCTAGTTATTTTTCTATTCCAAATACTGATAGACAGTATTTACACTATTCCTATATATTGGTGATGCACTGGTGATTTTTGTATTACCAATAGAGATTTTTACAATTGTCATTATCTGTCTGTGTCTGATGACATTTTTATTTCATGGTACATAAAATCAAAAATGTGAATAGCAATAAAAAAATTTAAATTTGAATAATATGCAAGATAAAGCTGTTATTATATTAAGATTGCACATTTAATTTTAGGCTAAAATATTCAATCATTTTATTAAATAAACATTTTAATAACAAAAGCAAAGAGAAAGTAATTTTAAAGCAGTATCTTCAACTTACAGTTTTTCTTATGTTACTGTCACTTAAGTTTTCTGTAACTATATAATATTCTTCTACAATATTATAACTTTTTATCCAAATGTTTCTCAAGTATTTTTACATTTTATATTCCTTTCTCTATTTTTTGTCAGCCACTGAGGTTTACTGCAGTTCCTCACTATTATTCCAAGGAATCTGCATTAAGCTTTGTCATGAAAAGGAATGACCAATTGAATTTTCCTGCCACGGACCTGTGACCTCTCACTAAATCTACATAACCATTAATGTTTTTGAGATAATTGCTTCTTCCTATAGTGTCACTGATAATCAACTCATATTTCAGAAAATGTAACTTAATGATAAAACACATTTGTGTTTAGCATTATCATTATGTATCACTGATATTTTAATTGTGTTCAACAAACAATTGCAAATGTAATCTTTATCTATGTAATGTAACAAGTGAAATAGACCAATGTAACAATAGAACTTCTTAATAAATAATCGGAATTATCAATTTCTAAGTAGTTATTTTAAAAACTAAAGCTACAGAGAAGAACAGCTTACAAGAAGATGGATGGATCTTTGCAAAATGCATTTTCTGAATTACTTTTTTACGCAATCATTCAAAATTATATATATATTGTAATTTTACCTACTTACGGACTGATGTAAATTATAATAATCTAATTTTCTGTATCCCTTCGTGGATCTTTACTCAATTGCTGTGGTGATAGATAGTATTGAATTATTAATTTTTTGTATGTCTTTACTTTAAGTGTTTTAGAAACTGGTTACAATTATTTAGCAAGAAACTAATGAATACATCATACAAAAAAAGTCACTTTATTTAGCCATCAATTCAAAATCCTACTATAAACACAAAACTGTGGTTTGGGCAACTTATAAGACATAGACCTAAGCATTCTACATAAACTCTCATATTGAATGTATTGGCTAACGAGAAGAGCTGGAACTTGACCTTTCAACACGTCTTCTACGAGCTGGAGACCTAGTTCTTGATCTTGTACGTGACCGTCTTCTAATTGGTGACCGACGCCTTGGAGGTGATCTGTAAAACAAGTTAAAAGTTATTGTTTAAACTTTTTAAACCAATAAAACAAGTTTTACAGAAAAGAAATCAGATTCTTCTGATGGAAAATCCAAAACATTTAAATCAGAAAAAATAGTCCTCATATTTATATTACTTTATTTATGGTTCTTGTCAGTGATAAAAGCATTAATTCATCTTCTTATATATATATATATATATATATATATATATATATATAT